TATTCCTTGCTTAAGACAGCATCCAAACTTGATGCTTCCTCACCCAGTAACACCACAGAGAGGAAAACAGGGCGAGACTCAAAGGCACAAACAGCATAAAGGCAAAAACGTGTCACCCCTAAGCAGGACCCATTCACGGACACAAACCGCAAGGGTCATCAACAAATGAAAAAACAAAGGTAACAGTAATACCAAACGTGGTACCAGTAACTGTTTTCAATGATAAAATGACTGCCTTCACACGACGTCTCAATAGTCGTAGTTAGGCTGATAGAGAGTCATCCGAGATGGAATTGCAAGACGGTCTTAGTGGGGACCAGTAGCTTAACGTCAGTGATGTCCAGCACACACGCGTCATTGCTAATGTTATTCCCTCCTTCGTATGCGCAGGAGAACGCGCTCAAACTGTATTGCAGGGGCACTGTGGAACCCATGCGGGCCTTGGAGTCTCCCTAGTCGCTGACAAGACCACGGACGAAACAAAGCGTGTCCCCAGCCCCTCACGCACACGAGCCAGAGGGCGGCAGATGCGCAGGCACCACCACCAGGATGGGGCCCAGGTAACTATTGCCCCGCATAAAAAAATGCACAACGTCGGGGCAGGCCTCTCCGTCGGCGTCCGCTCACGAAAACAAAACACGGCCACATGCCTTCAGCACCAGCGCCCCTCTTTCAGACAAACCTTCAGACAAGAAAAAAAAATACAAAAAAATAGCACCAGCCTTCGACCAAACCCAGCACAATCACCATCGCCCCCTCACACCACAGCAGCCAAAGAACGACCTGCCGAGTCCGTGCCCGCCCGCACAGCTCAATAAATATCGCTGCTTGCCGTTGCTTTCCCACACCACGGCGGCGCCCGCGCACGGTGAGGCATGAGTGGGTGGGGAACTGATGTAAACAAAAGTTATAAGGTGCTTCCCTACATTTGCAACGCGGAGTCGACACAGCAGCGGTCAACCACTGTATATAATGAGCGCCAGCGTGGAACCTTGAAACGCCCCCCTACAAATAAAAAAGAAAACGATATAGCTTCAATGTGTTCAATGTTCATCTTACATAAAACATTTACATGTCTTCTGCGCATCTTCAAAACAAACGAATTCATCAAGACTCCTTATGACCACAAAGCTCCCGCTGAAAAGCCACAAAGGGGCAGTCTTTTGGAATTCCTCTCAGCCGCCGCACCCATCTCATCTGGGCCGGTACTAGCAGTAGTGGTGGGTCGGGGAGGGAGAACGGAACCAAAGAACTGCCCGTGCTGCCTTCCAACGCGGTCGCTCGAAAAACAAGAAAAGCAAAAATGTTTTTTTTTCTTTTTAGTACTAATCAAAAAATATATAAAAAACAACCGCGAGCTCATGGCTTGAGCCTCAGCTGGGCACACACCTCTCTCCACGTGTTTCTAGCTCTAGAAGTGAGGACGCAAGAGGCTTGGAATGACTCAGTGCCAAAGGATACCGTTATCACCGTTTCAAGGCATAGTCCAGTCGACGTGGTAAGAAAAATCCTGTCCGCCCCGACAAACGAAACAAGAGGGTCACGGAGAAAAGTGCACAGCAGGTTCCGATGACGCTTCCAGCCAAGATATCAGAAAAGTGATGACGGTTGTCACGCGTCCGCGAAACAGCGACTGCAATTGGGAGAATTAGCAGCAGCAGACTCATCACAGTGCGCCAAAGGGACGCAAAATGAAATGCTTGCAGCTGACCAAGACAGTACAGCACCAACGTGACAACGGACGCAAACGCGACGCCGCTGTGACCTGACGGAAATGACTTTCTCCCCCCTAGCGCAACATAACACCAGTCCACGCCTTCGGATTCTTTGTTATAACCCGCTCGAAGCAATCGCGCGAGAAAGTCAGGACGCAGACGGCCAGCATACACCTTTGTAACATCAACAATACAAAGGCACAAACACACAGCAAAAGCCTGCGCGAGCACCCAGTGATTAAGTTTTTCCGTAAATAGCGACCACCGTGTACCAGCACCAAGTGTTCCCTCTCGTCCTTCTTCTCCTTCTGATGCACCGGGAACGCCACTGTTAACGTTTTCTACACGCAACCGTCGGACGGTGGTTCCTTCTTGGCCCGCAACATCCACTGTAACGGGGTTTAATTCGGCATCAAGGGGGGCCATATCAGCAGACAGTGTTGTGCCGGCCCGCCACAGTAGCGCGCGGATAAACTCCACGGTGGCATAAACCACAACTGGCAAGATGGCGATGAATATCAATGACCAAGAAGGATATGCTTCGTTTCCGGCGTAATCATACGCAATTGTTGTGTCATTCCATGAAAAAGGACGACAATGCGGGCGAACATTTCTTGCAATGATCATGCCAGTAAGTGCAAGAATAGCACAAAGAAGATAGTCCACGATCCTAAACGTCGTCAGCACATTTGAAAATGTCTCGAACGACGCCATCGTTAAGGTGAGAAGTTATTCTCTCCGTCACCTGGGTACAGGGTTATTCCTCTGTCTTCGTCTTGCCTTTCCTTTCGCCCACAACCTTCGGGCCTTTGTCAGTTCCTTGCTCAAGTCTTGTGTTCCACCCACCCCTTCAATCAGTACATACAAAACAAGTGAAGAGAGTGAAAGGGCGCGATTGCAGAAACAGAGGCAGGCAAACACGGTGCGGGAAAATAGAGTCACGTGTGCGGAGGCGCCTGCTCCACAGCTGCAGAAGACAGCGATATGCAGGCCGGCGTCCGCGGAGAGGCCGAGAAACGTCACACGCACGCGCGCACTGAAAAATGAACGTGACAATGGCACGCATACACACACCGAGAGAGAGGAAAAAAATACACAAGCAAGAGCAACAACGCAATCTAAAATTGCCTCCTCTTTCGCTTGGACTTCTCACCTCTAGCCTCTATAATATATATATATATTGTTAAAAAAGGAAGCCACCAAACCCGAGAGCCGCTGTATTACTTTTTTCAACTACTTTTTATTATTATCTGTTGCTTTGCGTAGGTGTACATATGTGGGTGTACATGCCCCCCACCCCCACCCACCCCCCGTACCTCCTACATTCGTTAACAGCAACGCAAAAAAAAAAAGAACTCTTCCACAGTGGCGGCCCTTTGGAACATCAAATGTGAGAAAGACATAAGCTGAGGGAGAAACCTAATCAGGGCAAAAGTTTCACACAGCCCAGAAGAGCAAGCGGGGAATCGCCAACTCCAACATAACAATTATACGCCCACATATGTACCGTGCATAGGTATACCGCCCCGCTGCACATC